TGTTAACGAATAAACACAGATTTTTCACTAGCTTTCTTACATTTTGAGTTGTGTAAAGCTGTTGTGATTAAATAATACGTTTAAATAAACCTACGTAAACGCAACAATTTTTAATTAATTTACTTAAATTTGACTACTCGCGTAAACTTTAAACAGTATTTAAATAAACGTACTGTATCAATTTTAATGTACAAATTTGCGTTTTAAACAGTTAAATATGCTTTAAATGCACCACAAAATAGCTTTCAACAGGTTGTGTTTTCTTGACACACGTCGTCTGACCATCAATTTTAACAAAATCCACGTTCGTGCCCATTTCACTCAAATCATAGTTCCCGCATGGGTGTGTACAGTGTGTGACGTCACGGGCGCACCTGTACACTGTCGCAATTCGTAGGCATGCAATCTTATCACATTTACTATCTTTCTAGAGTTCAGTAGATGAGTAGGTTCGCGTGCTAACCGACGCTTTTGAGAATCGGATAGAGATTTTATTAATAAGTGAATTGCTATTACGAACAGGCGTGAATTGTTAGAAAACAATTTATAGTGCTAAGGACTAAATACTGGTCTAACGAGTAAAGTTTAAAATTTAATTAAGATCAAATAATGTACTTTCATGGGCGGCAATTGAACACACGTCCACAGTGTGGCAAATGTAAATAAGGTACTGGGTCTTGCCCATGATCAGATTTGATTTATTCTTGCGCTAATCATCGTAAAATTCATTTTCTATTCTAGAATAATATTAAATGGATGGTAGGAATATAGAAATTCATAAATAAAGCCAAAATTAGTGCATCTTTTAAATAAAACACTTTAACGGTTTAAAACGCGATGTATTAGTTAAACTTATTTGAAATGACGATTTTTATGATTTTTAACTTCGGCCCGACGTTTCGGATGATTTGCAGCAGCCGTGGTCACGGAGAGACAACGGCTTTACTAATATATCGCGTTTTAAACCGTTAAAATGTTTTATTTAAATGTGTGCTAGTCGCGTAAACTATAGAGAGTATTCAGTTAATTAATTACCCAGCCATCTAAACAAGATTGTGAAGACTTGAAGACCTAACCTAACCTAATAAAAATCGACTTAGTATTTTAAGCTATAGAGTGAATCATACAAACAAATGGGGATACAATCTAGGGCCCTTGCATATTCTCTTTTATCGCGCCGTCGTCGGATAAGCGACATTTCTAGAGACTATGAGTACATCTATGTCTTTAGGAGCAGCGTACTAATTTACTAAACTTCAAAGCGCCGCTGCTCTTAAAACTTGGCAGCATTTCTGCAGTTAGCTAACTTAATCTTCCTTTACGACACCGACAAAGCCTATTAGGTAGATTATTCAAGATCAAACGTGAAACGAAATTTAAAATGAGACCATAATTAGTGCCATTGAGAAAAAGCCATTTTTTCCCAAGACATACAAAACATACAAATATTAGGAAATGGGGGAAAGCACTGAGCATGTGCTTCACGATCCAAGAGTAGAGAAGCGCCGGTTTTCAGTACAAACACCCCCCTCCCCCGGGTAAAAAGTATGTAAATAAGTAAAATACATGTGTAAATATCCAAAAAATTGTTAGGATTTAAAAGAAACACAAGAGAAGGATTCAAAGAGAAATTCTCTCGGCTTTTATAGTTGTTTATTTAGGAGGAAATTAATTCGAAAGACTTAAGAGCTACCACTTACTTTAGGACCTCGGCTGAGCGCCAAAATATTTATCTTTGTGTACGCCTAATGCGAGCTCAAAGATGGGAAAAATCGTGGGAAACCAGTATTACTTGAGTAATATTTCGATAGCAAATTATCCCATATACCCTTATTAGAAGGTCCCAGTGGTTTGGGAACTGTTTAAGGAGTTATCCAAATGGCTTTCAATAAGTCCAAAGCCAACAGACAGCGCATCGTGTTTGTTATCTGGCAGAAAAAAGTATCGCTAAGGATTCTTTCTGAGTAGGTACGTTTATTTACGTAGGTACCATAGGCCTATATTTTATCAAACAAATTATATTACTGTGTGCCCCCCTTTCCCCATGGGGCATGGCGTAAAGATATTCTTGGATCAGTTTCACCGATCGATTATACGCAAGAACGATCAAACTGCTTCACCCCTCTCTAACGAAACTGTCATTACAGGATTCGAAGCCCGGACCTCATTAACCTTGACACTAGCCAAGACTTAACCATTGAACTACCAAAGCGATGCTGTAGTTTACGCGAGTAGTACACATTTATAAAACACGTTAACGGTTTAAAACGCGATATGTATCAGTTTAACTTATATGTAAAATATTTTAAGTGTCTCCCCGTGACCACGGCTTTTACAAAGCGACCGAAACGTCGGACTACCCTTGTAAAATTACCCTTACTCACTTTTAAATAAGTTTAACTAATATATATCGTGTTTTTAACAGTTAAAGTGTTTTATTTAAATACCAAACATAATTTAAGGAGTGCTTTGGACCGTCCTTTGCATGATCATAGTGTTTTTAAAGTTATTTAAATTTCATTGTTCAAACCTTGGTGCCGAATTAACACCTTACGTTACGTAACGTTCAACAAATTAACTTTCGTATAGTATCAGTGTTCAAATATTTAGTGTGTAGTGTTGTTGTGTGAATACAAATGTGAGGAAATTTACTAATACACATAGTCATTTGCAAGACGCTCTGCATTAATTATTTGCTTAAAACGACGTCGCTAATGGAATCATTAAGTTAATGATCTTCATAGTATGCTGCATTAGGTAATTTTAATAAAACAATTTAACGGTTTTAAACGCGATATATATCAGTTAAACTTATTTAAAAATTATTTCAACTAGGGCCCGATGTTTCGGATGCTTTGCAGCAGCCGTGGTCACGGGGAGACTACCCGTTGAAGTGTTTTATTTAAATGTGTACTACTCGCGTAAACTATAGTCAGCATAGCTTTGGTAGTTCAATGATAAAACGTCTAAGCTAGCGTTGAGGTTAATGAGGTCCGGGGTTCGAATTCTGTAATGACAGTTCCGTTAGGGAGGGTTGAAGAAGTCTGATCGAACACTTAGATCGCGTGGTATAATCGACCAGTTAAACGGAATTAGAAATGCGTTTACCCCTGCTTCTTGAAAAAGAAAATTACACACGGTGTAATAAAAATTGTTCGATAAAATCTACGCCTATGGTTAGTAAACGTAGTCAGTAATAAGGGTTTTGGGCTCAACCTTCAAAATTTGGGTAACATGGATTAATGAAACATTAATTAAACAAAACACTTTAACGGTTTAAACCGCGATATATTAGTTAATTTGAAAATGATTTTTAACTGCGGCCCGACGTTTCGGATGCTTTTCAGCAGCCGTGGTCATGGGGAGACTAAAGATGGGAGAAGTCTCTGCCGTTGAAGTAAAAAATTGCTACGCTAGCGCCATCCGTTTCGTCGAAGTTGGTAACATTATTATTTAAAATGTCATGAAATTTCGATAATCATTCTCGTAAATTTTTATCGTTTGTAATATTTATCGCCAATAAAAATATATGGTTGTAGAACACAATAACTACTGAGTATGTGTCTTACGATTAAGATAGGTACATTTCTTTTATGATAGATAGGACGGCCAATGTGGTTTTTCGTGAAGAGCTTACTATAGAAATGATCCTATGAAGTAAGGTCTTTGAAGGGGTTTAGTTGATGGTATATGAAATATCCCAGCCATGTAACATCTAAACAAGATGCGATGACCACCTATTTGGGCTTTTGATAATCGGAAATCCACAGACTATAAACGAAACGCGATTAAAGTTTTTTAATAAATTTAAAGGACAGTTCAAGAAAGTTACATCGAAGTTTCTTTATCTTTACGAGACGTACTGTTAATAACATATTTATTCTACACCTTGTCTGCTCCGGTGTCGCAGTTATATCTTGACTTCAAAGACATTTTATAAAACTAGATAAATAGTAATGTATGTAGTTATAACAATTCCTTATTCCGCAAGGAAAACATTATTAACAAAAAAAAAACACTTAACGGTTTACAAATTATTTCTCCCCGTTACCACTACTACCAAAGGTCCGAAACGTTGGAACGTAACATAGCTACAAGTTTGTAAACCAGTTTAACTAATACATTTCGCGTTTTAAACCGTTAAAATTTCTTTACTCTCGTTAACAACATACCTTTTACAAATTTACGTTTTATTTTATTGTCTTAGCAACTTTGACATCACATTTTACTAATATTGATCTAGCCATTGGTACGTAAAAAATTAAATCAGTCTCCCCGTTACCACGGCTGATGCAAAGCATCCGAAACGTCGGACCGCAGTTAAAATAATCTTCAAACAAGTTTAACTAATATATATCGCGTTTTAAACCGTTAAAGTGTTTGATTTAAACGTGTACTACTCGCGTGAACCACAGACAGTATTTAACGTAACTCAGTTGAAAACTTGCGTGTTTATATTAATAAAACTGTATATATTGTTTGATGACTGTTTTTATCTATGAACTGTTTCCAAAGATAACGATGACATACCGGTGAGATCATAGTGAATTATAATAATATTTTGTTGTATTGTAAAGGCAATTAATAAATAATTAACTAATATATTTTTAATTACAATATTCGTGAATAAGCAAGATGAATTTAGTTGTTATATAGAGCTATCTACATACAGACATATTAAAACCCTTTAAAAAAATCATAGTATAAAACAGTCGCTTTTTCTGTCACTATGTACGCTTGAATCTTTAAAACTACACAACGGATTTCGATGCGGTTTTTTAATAGATAGAGTGAAGAGCAAAGTGGTTAGCAACGTTACAGTTTATCTGTAGTGTCGGCATTAGTATCAGCATTGCACTCGAGCGAAGGCGGGGCGGGTCGCTAGTAAACTATAAAATAAATAAAACTATTAATAATTATCAATATCAAGATATATTTGTGAAGTGTTCAAACCGATCGATAGTGTGGGAATAGTGAAATGAAGGATTGGATTTGATGTGATGGCCTGGCCAGGAGGATCTCCAGACAGCGTAGAGCTACCTCTGCACCAGCTCGGAAGCGAAGATACCCTAGATGGCCTTGCACTACCCAACACCAACGTCACGGGACATACTAGAATCAGTAAGTTTGAGTTATACAAAGTAGACTTATTATTATGGGTTTAAGAGTTATATTATAGAATAAATTAACGATAACATGTATGATAATAACTATACAATATAATATGACATTAATTTTAACACTTACCCGACGTTTCGGGTGCTTTGCAGCAGCCGTGGTCACGGGGAGCCGTATTTAAAATAATTTTCAAATAACTTTAACCAATCTATCGCGTTTGGAACCGTGAAAGTATTCTATTTAAGTGCAATACTCGCGTTAACGTTACAGACAGTATTTTCTTTTAAACTGTTCTTGTGTGCGTAGGTACTACCGCGATCTGTTCGTCATTATCGATTTTTTTTGCATATATTTTTAATTAATTTTTTGTGAGTAACGAAAAATATTTCAAATATTACTTAAATTACAATGGGAAAATCCATTTAAAAGAATTCTTTTTTTCTTTATATAATTTAACATAACAAAACGCGTATCTTACAACTGTAATATTTCGAGTATAAATCATTACTATATAATATCAAATTGTGAATGAAGAATAATCAAATCCCATCCGCCCGAAATCTATAATTCTATATCTAAATTTTAGGTCTATATAGAGATTTTTATTCAGTCTCCATTGATGCATTACTTATAAGATAACCAACAATATTTTATAAGAAAACCTATTAATAATTTATTTCGGGATTTGAACCCAGAACAGGTCTCCCGACAATAAAAACGCTTAAAACGGTTTAGAACGAAAAAGGTTTTGACGACAAAAATACATTTACTAAATTTTATCACGTTTCAAGCTTCTAAAAGTAAATGTCGGACAGTATTTAAAATAAATTGTAAAAGTAACATATTTTGCGTTTTAAACCGTTAAAAGTGTTTCATTTAAATGTGTAATACTCGCGTGAGCTACAGACAAATTGTTTCTAGCTTATACTTACGAAGATGTTCTAAATTTAAAAAACGCACTTACCTGTTCAGTTCTTCTTGCGCACTCTATGATTCCTTATAAGTGACTTACATTATTAATTTTGTAAACCAACAATCGTTTGCGTAACACTCCAATAAGATCGACTCGACATTCACCTTGTGTATGGCTTCTAGTGCTGGATATCAATTTGGGGCTCTATATGGGCAATTTTAGGGGCCCTGTTAATTTGTTTGTTTTGTTTTAAAATCTACTTACTAAAAGCTTATAAAGTTTGGAAAAAAATATTTTTAAAGCTATATATTTAACCACAGTTCGAAATAGGTAAAAAAACAGAATCAAAAAATTTGCATTGATTTGCATACCTGTGCCTTTTTTATGATATTCATAAAAAAATTATGTATCACTCAACATTCTAAAACTTTTACCTTCAATGTATCTAATGTTGTTTCAACACAGTCTTTTGTTCCCAAATGCCATTTCTCTAATTGTGATCAGGTTTTTTTGTGCCTTAAATACCATAATTATAAATAATTTAGACATTATAACAGTATTAAACACGAAACGAACAAAATGTATTAATAACGGTCAAGTGCAAATTGCACACATGAGCTAGCTACTCAAATTTCAAAGACATTTAAACAAATTTAAAAGTCTATCATATTGCCATATAAAGGAAAAAAATAATATGTTTTATGGGAGCCAATTTCATGTTGATTTTACTGTATTGTTAGTATCGCCTGTTATAACGGCGGTAGAAAGATATTTGTGGCAATTTCAATTCTCTTCTTTCGTGCTTCTATACAAGCTGGTGATTACCAGATACAGTCCAGGGTCTTGTTTACCGTTTACGCGGGGCCCTAAAAATACTGGAACTTGCATTCCCGGTTCGTACACATATGGGGCCCCGCGCGTAGGCTTAGTCCGTCCGTTTTACTGCGCGTCCACACTCGCGTCCAGCACGCAGCACAGTCACTCCTCCGCGTCCGTCGACCATGTTGGTGCAGATACTCATAATGATGTACATAGCCACCTGCCTCCTCTTCTACGTGGCCCATGTCATTGATTTCTACTTCACCGCACTGTGATTTAAACATGGATTGATCTTGGAGGATGGTGTGGGTGCAGTCGATTTTGGATAAGTTCAGGCCACTTGGTGAGTCTAGTTTGTCCAAAAAAATATACCTCAAAGTACCTTCGATGTTCTTGCTTCTTAACGCGTAGATTTGCTATTAAAATTGCGTACTCAAGAATGAGAACAAAGTCGATGACCATACGACCCAATTTTGGGGTGCTTTGTTTGTCTGTCCCCCTTGACTCATGGTCGACATACAAACCTTTACGACCTTTAATCAGTAATATTATAGGCGATACGTTGCAATTTCTTCTATATAACTGTATACTTATTTGTATCCGTAATTGTTTTACATAATTCGTTCTCAATAATAAAACATTTAATAACGGTTTAAAACGCAAAGTAAATAAATGTATGACATCTCAATTTCACTTACCACAAATACCATTTCAACAAGATGTGATGTCGACCTATTTTGGCATTTACGAAAAGGGACACATTAAAAACGCCTTTAAATTCGAAGGTTTTTCTGTGGACTTGTGGTTGTTTCATAAAAATTATATTTTGATTCCAAACATCCAGATTTCCAGACGAAGTCCAATATGTTGCACAAAAATTATAAATTGATCCGAATGTAGGACCTTATTGGTGTCGAACCTACGACCCGTTATTAGCCATACATCGCAATCGTTAGACCAACGAGCAGAAAAAAGTTTAATATTTCATGTTTTATACTCGACCCATTTGTATAGAGTTTAAATTCGAACCCACAAGGTCCTTGAACACTGGTTTCATATAGTGCTTTGTCCACGCTAAATTAATTCCAGAAATTACATTTCAAATGTCAAACAACCCTGTATTTTCAATTCTAACAGCGTTCCTATCGTAGTTCAGTCAGCGTGAACTAAATAGGTTCGCTACTGTGGCGGCTATAATTGCTAGTATTGAGCTAGACCACACGTCATTGTTAATTGGTGGTGTTTTTTGAGACGTGAAATAAAATTGATATCTATAAAGCTGATGAGTTTGTTTGAACGCGTTAGCCTCAGGAGCTAGTGGTTAGAATTAAAACATTCTTCTTGTGTTGTTTGGAGCATAACGATCATGCTGTAAAAATCAGGCTGCGGTAAATAAAAGGGAAATGTAGAAAAAGCGGAGAATTTTTTATTTATTTTTATTGCACAAAACATAATAATGATACAAAATTAAATGATTTACTATTTACTAGAATAGAGTGCAATGGGCGGACGAAGTCGCGGGCACAGCTAGTTTAAAATAAATAGATAGTAACTTTACTCAGATGACAGATAGGAAACGTTTATAAAGAAGCCGTTTAAAAGATGGAAGAGAAATAAAAGAAAGAGCCATGCGTATGGAAACGTGTATGGTGTTCCATAGCCTGATCGCAGTTATTCGAAAGGATTTAAATTTTTTATCTTTCCGAAATTCCGTTGCGTGCGCCGCATAAACGGTTCTAGAATCCAAAAATATGTATGAAAGAAGAATTCTCTTTCATACATATTTTGATATCATTTATCAAAAAATGTCCGCGACAGTATACATATCTGTCTGTTTCTTTATTTCTTTATTGGTGGCCTTCTGTTTTAGCCTAAAGCCTTCCTCGATAAGTGATCTAACCAATAAAAAAAGGATTATATTTTGAACCCTTATGTCTTGAACTCAAGACGTTTTTATCAAGACAACGCAATGCAACCGAACAACTTTTATGAATGTAGATCACAACGCACCATGAATTTTATTGCGAGGAATATTAAAATGTTTCCCTAATTCGGTGTGCAAATTGATTGTATTTACAATATGACAACGGTGGCGTCGACCTTGTGTTTAAATCGCAGTTCTAAACTAGGGTTGCCAGTATCGCATTGGCAAAATTTTTATTTTTTAATAAGCTACCAAAATACACTTATTAAAAAATTGATCTCTTTATAAAAATAGTTATGTTTTAAAGTAATTGTAAAACGTGTGCATTAGTCATTCTAATCTTGAAGTTTTGTTTAAAAAATAAAATATAGACGACAACCCTAATATAAGTGCTTATTATCATAATGCTTGGTATCACAAGAGAAATCCCGCGACAAACGAAAGATTACCGTGTTTTGTACATATTTTATGAGTAGGTATATTCAAACAATAACCACTTAAAGATTCCATTTGAAAAATTTCGTTTATAGGACAGTAAGGTTTTTTTTTCTAGTTGTTTTAATCATTATTTGTATAATAATGGATAATATAACGTACCGTGATAATAGTACGTACCTACATGTATCAACGGAAGGAACAATTAACTATTAAAACAAGAAAGTCGGGTACTTTTTTACACTCTTCTTAAATATAACACATTTTGTAGAACATTATAAAGAAGGGGTTTAAAAGATAATCTCAATGGAGTGGCGACTGTTAAGATATAAGTTAAGAGGCTTTTCAGTAGAGCTGTTGTCGGCCTTTGAATGTATAATATAATAAATAATCTTTTAATGGGATCACTGACGGCAGATGCCTTGCCCTTGGAAACCACTCGATCGATTGTACCCTTACTAGTCGAAACACCTACATATTATCTATTGTTTTAATACATTATGCTTGTACTTAGACGCAACGTTTTTATTGAGTAATTACAAGGGTGATTTCTTGAATAAATTACAAAATTAATATTAACATTTTGAGTTTCTAGTAATTTTTCTGAGTAATTCAACATGTCATACTTGCATAGAAAAAAATATCGTAATGTTTCAAGTATCATTTGTAGTTTAAAATCTGAGAGCTTCTTCAATGTAAAATGTCCTATTTTAAACTACATTAGAATATAGGGCAACAGCACAAGCAGCCAAAGAAACCTCCTATAGTATGCAACACCTAAGCTGTTTTAACCCCTCTTTAAATTTCACACTTAAAATGGAGATTAGAACTGTCTAAGGTTTTCTATTCAACATTACCATTGAATTCAATGTATATTAGCTCCATCTATGGTTAGATAACGAAGCCTGTGTTAAACGTGAAACAGGAGTAGTAATACCAGATGGGGAATTTACCTGATTTTGTTTCATGTATTAGAGTACGAGAATATTTTCATTATTTACAAAATAAGTAATATATATCTTTTTTAATAAATAATGAAAACTCCTATGACAAATAATTGGTTGTTGAAACTTACGATTTAAAACAACCTTTATGTGAACATGTGCAAGGTATAAAATGCCATTACAATATTTCTTGTATTATAGTTCTAAAAAAAAACACTTACTAATAAAACCTCTGTATCTTCTAAAAAAAAAACAATAAAAACTTTTTGTTATAATTGAATTAAAGTAGATTCTAATAAAAATCTTGCAACACCGAAGTATGTATTGGTCATCCGTCACCGTCAAAAATATCGAAATAAATAATTCTTGGATAGAGGAGACGGCAAAGTAATATTCGCTTACCATTTTCCTGCGCATCAAATATCTTACTCCGCGGTGCTTTTGTGTATAGTGACAATGACTATCCTGTATTCTGTTTCTTTGGATTACCTCAACGCCCGGTGATAATGTGTGTCAAATTTAGTGTTATTTTAGTGTATAAACAATCGATGTGATCGGGAACTTGTTTATTTAGCGTGGTTCTCGTCGGTGGAATGGCTTTCAGGGAATATGTAACAGGTTTTTTCAACAACCAAAACGTAATGGCGCCTTTCTCGCGTTTCTACCGAGCTATGGTGCTCAAGATGAATCAACGTGAGTAGACCACACCTGTATCCTACTATAAACAGCTTCCAAAAAGGATTACAAAGCTATGATCTATATCTATATAAATACCAATGAAGAAAGTTTTATAGCAATTCTGTCCTAAAACATTTGCTGGATAGTACAGATATTTAAATGAATAGAGTCCTTTCTGCAATCTATGAAAATTCAAAAACCAAAACAACTGCTTCTTTTAAGACCATCTGTCCATGGTGGCTAGTTAAGACTAAGGACTATGTTTACCATTTCACCTTATAAACCTTAATATAATGCAATTTGTTTGGTCATTGCCCTAAATATAGAGTTGACTTTTGTATGTCATGCTTATTTGTTGACATTTAAAAATACCACTTCAAAAAGCTGTTCTGACGTCATTTAGTTACAGCAAATTGAACATTATAGTTAACTATATTAAAAATATCATTTTGACTGTGTGTCTGCAAAACATGTCCTTTGTTTGTTCAAACTTTAGGGTAAGATAAATACCTACTACTGCCTTGCTAAGGAAGGACAGAGAAGACTTAGTTTACAATCTGGTTTATGCCTAAGGGCATCTCAGTTTTTCTTACCACATAACAAATACTGTGGGTATGGGTAGTATAATTTAGTTAGATTAGGATTTAAAACTTTAAATTTATAAGATTTAGGTAGGAATTACTAATAATATACATTAATGTATTGATATAATTTAGTCCATCTGTTGAAGAAGTAAAAAATAATTGTTTATATGACAAACAAGATTTTGTTTCATTCTTTTCCATTCTGTATTCCTTGTCTCACCTCAGAACATTGTCACTGAATATTTTGTATATTAAACTTTATTGAAACTCGGAATATGATAAATAGAGATAAATATTTGTTCATGCTATTGCTTTTAAAAAAAACTTAACTTTAAAACGTGATATAGGTATTTTAGTTTACCTTTTTTGAAAATTATTTTTAACTACGGCCCAACGATTCAGATGTTTTTAGCAGCCGTGGTCATGTTTTAAACCGTTAAAATATTTTATTTAAATGTGTACTACTCCGGGTGACATACAAACAGTATTCATCCTATTGCTTTTATTAATTTAATATACTTTTCAACTAGATAAAGAAATTATATTTTGTTTATGAAGAGGCTAATAAAAAACTGAAAAACTAAAAGGAACTTACTTTTCATCACCATTTGTTTATTTGTAGAAATGAAGTCATCGCTGTAAACGCTGAAACTAACCTGCTTTTATTTTGTTCTATTAGTTGTGGGACACACTGGTTTAGTGTTCCAAGGCAATGTTTTAATTATTTTGGTCCATGAGATAAATAGACTAGTCACTGAACTAAGTTATATTTATAAGATTAATTATATTTTTGATGTACCTATCTTAAAGACTCTGATAAAAGTTAAAAGTCAATTATTTGTTTTATTGCCTCAATAAAATATTTTTTAAAGGAAATTTTCTAAAATAACATAAAAAATAATATTCCAATTAGTAATATAAAGGTCCTAGGACCTACTTCAAAAACAATAAACTTTTACGTTATTGCTTTACCATGTACCTCAATACTTCAAACAAAACAATTGTTTTAATATAATGCTAGGGAAAATACTATTTCTTATTAGATTTGTATGGTAACAATGATGCATAATTATTGAATAATTATGTATTACTATTCCTCATCGCATTTTATTTACATGTCTAGCATGACTTAGCAAAATTGATAAAGTCTTAGTACAGTACGTTTCAATAAATTGTATTTGTTTACGAGAAATTTGAGGGACTCCAAGGATATGGCCAATAATCAACGGGTTTGATTCCTGTTAGGCCAAACATGTTTTTATTTTTTTTTCTGAAAACAAGTTAGACTTTGACTGCATAAATCTGGATATTAATTGAGTATCTAGTCAGAAATGTGAAAATTACGTCGGGATCACGGTGTCTATAGATTTCCCAATGTTCAAAGCCAAAATAGTTTGACAGCGCACAATCTTACCAAATTTCGATCCTCTGACGTCAGGTATGCAATTAAATTCCTTATTTGTTAGGTGCTTAGGTTGAAACCATATCGATCTCGCACCTACCCTTTTTAGTATCTGTAGGAACATAATTGTCGTCTATAATATGTATGTTGCACGCCCTTTATGTCCGACTCAAGGTCACAGAACATTTTCCACTGCAATTACGTCTAGGGCATCCATGGTCACGGCCTGGATACTATCTGATTTATTTCACTCAACCACTAATTAGATTATAAAAGACCTAGAAAATGCATTTATACAGGTTACGTTACTAGGTAAGTCTAGAATAGTTATGCCTTAATGGATTTGAAATATGTCTGACAGACATGTGAGATTTATATTTCATATTATTTTCACGGGCTCGTTGGTCTAATGTTGATAATCAACGGGTCGTGGGTTAGATCCCCACCGGGTCAAATTTGTTTTAAACTATTAACAATTATTGGAAACGTGTTGAACTTCGTCCGGAAGTTTGGACGTTAAAATGTGGTAAGGAGCATCGAAATTCTGTCTGGGTCTCGAACCACCATTTCAGTAAATGGCTTCCGAATATCCAAAGCTTCTAGGTCGACAGTGCATCTTATTAAAATGCGACTATTTCCATCAAGTGCTTGCCTGTCTTCCTCTACCATAATTAAAGGATAAAAATTGTTTGTTCATTATTAAGACCTAACTTATTTTGGAGTGAGTATTATGTTTATTGGGCCGTCAGTACCATCCGCAAGTTAAAGTCTAACTTTAATTTTCTACGTTAAATACAAGTGTAATGATACAATTTTTTGCCGTTGACAGTTCGTAAAATAAAGAATGTTGCAATTACTCTTATATAAAATTTAACGCAATAATGTCGTTTTTGAATGTTAGTATTTATTTATTTTAGATGAGGATGAGGCGACGACGTCGGGAATCACGGACGGCGCGGCAGACGAGCAGAACCGGGTTATATTCATTAACAGACCGCAGCCACAAAAGTTCGTCAACAACAGGATATCCACCGCCAAGTATAGGTAAATCTACTACTCTACAACAATTCCCACTGCTGGGATGGGACCTCTTAATATTGCATAGACATTTACCTTCGCATAGTTGGTACGCAGTGTACTCTAATAATAATAATATTAATCTTGACTTACTTTTTTTAATTTTAAATACTTGAAAACTTTAAGTAATATGATTTAAAAATCGAAAATAAAATGAAAAAAATTTCGACTCGGCCAGGACTTGAACCGGAATCGTTAGCGATCCGTGCTGTTGCTCTACCAATTGAGCTACCGAGTCCTACACCTCATCGTCAATTTTTTTCATTAATTGATACATGCACGGTAGCCCAATTGGTAGAGCAACAGCACGGAACGCTGACGATGCCGGTTCAAGTCCTGCCTGAGTCGAATTTTTTATATATATTTATTTTCGATTTTAAAATCATATAGTGCCTTCACGAGCAATAACATGTAATAAAAAAATAAAGTTTTCAATCAAATGTGTACTACTCGCGTAAACTACAGACATTTAAGTAATTAAAATGTTTAAAGCCAATAATATGTTGTCGTACGCCATCGAAGTGCGCTGTGTTGCTGTGAGAAATATAAAAGAATTTTAAATAAAGCTTTTCCAGATGTCCCACTATGAAAATTATATTGGTACATAATTTTGATTGTCCTGCATTATCTGTCCGTGCGAGGCATTGTTTACGCGATATTCCTGGACGTTTGGCTCGGTGCCCAGTGTTGCCTGATTCTGGTATTAACGCTGGCCTCTCGATGATTAAGTGTATAATGAATATTGTATTTTATCGCCGACTGCCGGCAATTTTTTACGACAAAAAAGGACAGGTAAAGGACGGGGTAACTAAAAGTTAGATAAAATGTCCAATGTCGTTTTCTTTCTTTAAATGATTACATCATAATTATATAATCATGGTGTACTGTCGGCGGTTGGATAATTAGATAACTATGATGTAGTGTCGACCTCTTTTGGTTCACCTCTCGGATTGTACCATAGAGTTTTCTATAACTGTCGTCCTACACTAGTTCTTTTATATTGATGTTTATTAGAATACAGTTAATTTGCAATTGTAGTTCCCAGTCCTATCACTTTCCTCTCACTAGTCGTGTATTATCAGAATCAGGGCTCTGGAAACCATGATCTCATATCACTCCCGTCACATCATTCCCTCTACTTTGTTTATGCGTACCACGTTAACGATATTAGGTCAATCCATAGAATGTGCTTTGCATCGTGACGCTTTGAATTCTGCCTTTCGATTTAAAATTAGCTGTATTAGCGAATTCGGCCGCGTGAAATAATTATTTAGGCCATCATATTATTTGTTTTTGCCCCCGAAATTATAATATGTACATTTGTCATTTTTTTAGATCTCAATGATCTAAGAGAAATCATTCTATCATACATATTTTTTGGCTTCTTGAACGAAGATGACTAATTTGCCGCATTTTTCACGGTGTCTTTGTTTCTATTGGTCGCAGCTAATATGTGCCTATAGCCTTTCTCGATGAATGATCATCTAATACAAAAAAAATAAAACTCGAACCAGTAGTTCCTAAGATTAGCGCGTTTAAACAAACAAACTCTTCAGCTTTATAATGAAGGTATAGATACTACCGTTTAACAAATATAATTGTCTAAACTAAGTACTTCATGGTTCGTGTAACGAAAGGACACTTTCGTGACGTAACTACGCAATGCAGTAATCCACGAGATCCTCCGGGTCTGAAAACTGGGAATACAGAACCATTGTTAAGCTGTGTAAGACGCAGGTCATATTATGTATACACAACGCAACAAAACAAACGTACAAAGTGACAGGCATATTAATAGCACTTTTCTTTTGATAGAGCAGGACATTGAATAAAACACTTAAACAGCTTAAAACGCCATAGATTAGGACTCGGTAGCTCAATTGGTAGAGCAACAGCACGGAACGCTGACGATGCCGGTTCAAGTCCTGCCCGAGACCAAAATATAATTAATATATATTTTGGTCACTGTATTTAACTCATCCATGTTCTTGCAGAACTGGAACCAACTTAATGTAATTGTAATTACAAGTATTTAAAACGTACACGGGTAATCTTATTAACCTTAGCAATATAAACCTTAGAATTTGTAAACATATAGGTGAAGGTTGAATTTAAACATGGTTAGGGCGCAATGTGAAAATATTTGTTTAAGAAGCTCTAGTGGACACACTTATAGCCCTGCAGTTCCTAAAGTGACTACGTTGTGACTATGTTAGTTAAACTTAATTGAAAATTATTTTAACTACGGCCCGACGTTTGCGTTCAAGTATTTTATTTAAATATATTCTACCCGCATAAACTATAGATATGTGATTAAAGTTTATTTAAATGTATTTCTGTTAAATTCATACGTTCATTAAAATAGCGTAAAAGTTTTGAGTGAAACACGCAAAAGCTGAGTGATTTCCTCCACAGATCTATTTTATTATTAAGCATTGTATTTTTGTTTTATTGTGTATGGAGTAAAGCGAGCGTCTGCGTTTTTAGTCCCCCGTGCTGAGAAGCATCCGAAACGTAATTAAAATAAATTGTAAACAACTTAACTAATACAGTTCGTGTTTTAATTCGTTTGTCTTTTATTTAATTTCATAGAAAGTAAATAATAAGTTTAAATTAAACACATTAACGGGTTATAACGAAAAATAAACTTGCAAAAAGTTATATACTAGTTTTAAAGCAGCCGTGGTCACGGGGATACAAGGCTGCTGCAAAGCATGCGAAACGTCGAGCCGTAGATAAAATAATTTTTAAATAAGTTTTTATCGCGTTTTAAACCGTTAAAGTGTTTTATTTAAACGTGTACCTACTACTTGCGTAAACTACAAACATTATTTAGATAATAAATTCATTAACACTATTGTAAAAGGTACCTACCGGAAAATACATACAAAAATCAATTTTCATTTTCAGATTAACTAACGTTTGTTTTTTTCCTTTTTTATAACTCAAAGCATAATTGACCAAAACTTAACAAGCTCTCACTTTTGTCCGCGACTTGCCAAGTTGTACTTTGCTAACCTTCCAAAAATAGCCGCAATATTTTTAAAACCTTTGCATGCGAAAAGCGTAATAATTTAGGAATGCTTTAAAACGTCAAGTGCGAGTCGATTTAGCGAAGGAAGGGTCATCTAATATTTAGATCATTTTTAAACGGTTTTATTTAGCTTGACCCGTACAGAATTTATTTATTTGGGTCAAAATTAGAAATTGAAATTTAAGCACATTCCGTTGTCAGATTGATCTGAAATTTGGTACACACATTTAATTTAGACGACAATACAATATAATAAAATCAATAACATTATAAATCCAAGATGGCCGCCGATACAAAATGGCGGATTCCATATTTTTCCTTAGCCCCCTCAATATGGGTATCAAATAAAAGAGCTGCACTAGTAAAACACGATGATTATGTCAAAAAGTGCACAAAAAATAAAACCGTAAATGTTTTTTAAGTTGACATTTGTTTTAGTAGCGCAAAACCTTTTTAAATTTATTTCTTTTTTGCCCTTGTTGATAGCTGCTACTGATATATACTTGCTGTGAAAATGTCAACTACAAACCTGAAAAACATCCAGACGACTAATCTAATAATAATGAATGAATTTAATACTCCCAACTATGAAGTACTAGAATTTTCATAAATTGAGTAAGGCTTTCACGGCCATCGATCAGCATATTATTGTCTTTGGGCTGTTCGGCCGATGTGAGCGAGAGGAGATTCGTTCACCATCACGTGTGGTTCAACATCTCCTGAAGATCGTCCACACGTGAGGCGAAACGTCGAGAACCTCTTCTCGCTCACATCGGCCGAAGAGCCCGAAAGACAATAATATACTAGAATTTTCGGTATGCAACTTTTAAAAACTATCGCACAACTAGCCGTGACAGCGTCTTCGTACGCGTAGAATCGTTATTTTGGGCATCAACATTTGCTTTGGCAAACCTCTCTTCATCTTTATGCAATTGAGTTACCCACGACGTCTGTCGCGTCTCGTCGTTCTTCTTGAATCTTAAAATATGACATATAGTGTCGTGTACATCTTTTTAGATCATGTGTTGAGGAATTATTTTTGAAAACATATTTTTTGGGTACCTTAAACCGATTTCGCAGCGTACGGTACGGAAACCCACAAAGATATAATAGTTTTCTCTTTGTTTTTTTTTTCATATCTCCCGCTGTCTCTTCTCTCCTATTAGTCGCCTTCTTCGATACATTCTCTAACCAACACAACAATAATTTTTCAATTCGAACCAATATTCCCAGAGATTAGCTCGTTCAAACAAACAAACAAACTCAGCTGTATATATAAGTATAGATGTTAATAATTGACATATATTATGATGTCCATAGTCTCCCGTCGTTCGTGCCCCTGTTCCTGTTCGAGCAGTTCCGTCGCTACTCCAACTGTTTCTTCTTGCTGATCGCGCTGCTGCAGCAGATCCCAGATGTGTCGCCAACTGGAAGATGGACCACCCTAACGCCACTCGTGCTGATACTCACCGTCAGTGCCATCAAAGAAATTGTCGAGGATTACGTGAGTTCTAAGATAGCTTTCTCGTAAATAAACTAGATGTAACAAGAATTTTAGATTACTTGCTTTAATTAAAGGGGGGGGGAGGGGGCACTTATTATTTTATTGTGTTAGAATTAAATCATAATTAAAAGAATTTAATATCACATATTTTTAGATAAAGAAAACTTCAAAAAGGTTCGTAAAGTGGCAGAATTTGGTAATAAATACGCGATCCACATTTTCTCTTCTTTTCTAGAAACGGCACAGAGCAGACGAGGAAACGAATAGACGGAAAGTGGAAGTCCTGTCGGAGGGCAGATGGCGGTCCATACGCTGGGAGAAGCTGCAGGTGGGGGACATTTGCAAGATTACCAATAACCAGTTCTTTCCTGCGGATCTCGTCTTATTGGCTTCCAGGTGAGAAAATTAAACAAAAAATCTGTGTTTTTGCTTGCTTTAGTTGTGTTTTTTGCTTATTACCATTAATAGAAATTACCCAAAAAAATGTGCTTTGGAAGATTGACAGCTACGCAACGCTACAGCTGATAGACAAAAGACGGTTAGACAAATTCTTTAATGGTTAAAACGTTAATCAATGCAAAAAAAATATTTTTACGTTAAATTGCAGCATATCCATATCTATAACTAATATTATAAAGCTGAAGAGTTTGCTTGTTTGTTTAAATTCAATAATCTCAGGAACTACTGGTTCGAATAAAAAACATATTTTTGTGTTGAATACACCATTTATCGTGGAAGGCTTTAGGATATATAACATCATACTGCTATAAGACCGAAGAAACAGTAGAAAAAAAACAGAGAAAAGAATTAATCTTTGAGGTCTTCCGGTGCGTGTGCTGCGAAAACGGTCCAAGAAATCTAAAAATATTTGTACGAAAGTACTATCCCTCCTTGAATGATCTGAAAAATTTCTGCGGCAATATATGTCGCAAAAACGAGAAAACGCGGCTGTCGTGGGTTACAGCTAGTCAAAAATAAACATCGCGGGCGGGACTCAAACCCATAATTGAGCTACCGTGGACCGCAAGTCATCGTCGATGTTTTTCTTTCTAAAAAACACAATGAAAAAGAATAGAGATGTCATGTCTTCAAGATGCATCGTTCAAAACTCGTACGAAGTATCGTGTGGGCTACAAATAAGTAATTCAACCACCGAACAACCGCCTTTACAACACTGTTTTAATAAATCAGCCCTTCCCGACCCTTCCGGTGTGAATCCGAAATGACAAAGTAGCGGAAATGAGTTCGGGCCGTGCCACCTACTTTTACGTGCGTTACGGTTTGGTTTAACAAGCCATTAGGTGACTATTTTATAGGGTTCTGTACATTAAGGGTTAGAACGGACCCCTTTAGTAAGGCGTCTCTGTTTGCGATAATAAGAGAATTGAAATTTTCACAAATTATGATAACAAGAGTTAAGGTTTAAAACGCGATATATAGTTAAACTTATTTGAAAATGATGTCTCCCGTAACGGTACTGCAAAGCATCCGAAACTCGGGCCGAATTAAAAATCATTTTCAAATAAGTTTAACTAATATATCGTTTCAACTTAAAGTTTTTATTTAAAACTATCGCGTAAACTATAGAATATTTATTAACGTGAATAAATATTTAAGAGTAACGTTGTAGTAGCAATGTATAGTTATTAATCGTGGGTTCGGTCTCCAGCGGGTCTGATGCTGAACTTCTAGAAATCTGGAAATGAAATGTGTGGTAGGCATGTCGAAATCCGGACAGCGTGGTTTCAGACTGAATTTCAGAACATCCACAGCCAAAATATAAGTCGATAGCACATTATAGTAATTGAATGTGAAATGGCTGGGCTATTTTACCTTCCGTCAAGCGATCCCCACGTTACCCCAAATAGTACGTAGTACCCCTCCTGCACAAATGCGACTAGCACTATATTTTACCGATCAATATTTAAAAGGGTATCCAGCTTAATGTTGAGGTATCGACCTCATTCGCTCTATTTTTAGCTAAACAATACTATTGTTTAGCTGCTCAACGAATTGTGCCAGTTACCACAATATAAGAATGCACTGCTAAACAGCTGTTTCAAGTGCTTGCAGGTTTTTTCCGTGAAAACTTTTTTATCTGAAATGTCAGTGAATATCAAGGCTCGCCTGAGCTCGACATTTAAACAATGGCGTATAATAAATATGTAGATATTTCGCTGCTCTATTTCCCTTTTTATATACTCGTAATTAATTTCGTTTCAACCGTTACGTCCCACTGCTGGGAGCAAGTCTATCGTAGGAGAGAGGTATACGGGTCGGCACTAAATGACTGTTTAAAACCGCTAAACGTGTTTTTCAAGACACGGAGTATGGACACTTTGATCTTGTGATCTGCTGTGATATTTACTAACCATCCATTAAGTTATATCACATATTATTTCACACGACGGCACTATATACATTTAAAAAATACGGGGCGGACATTGACCGGATTAATAAGAAAGCGCTGGGTATGAAAAAATTCGACGATGGCATGTAGGACACGGACGGTAGCTCAATTGGTTAAGGCAACAGCACGAAACGCTGTGGATGCCGGTTCAAGTCCCCCCCCTTTCGTAATCTTTTTCAATCTATAATCGAATTTTTTATTTATTTTAAATCTTCTAAAGATTAGACATAGCGTTGAAACAATATTAAATTAAGAGAATCTTTCGGAAGCGTGGTTACCCTAACGCATTTTTAGGGTCTATATTAATAAATCTTCGCTGTCAAAAGATTAAGCTTCAGATGTATTTCTGTCTGTAATATAGCAGATATATATATAGACATAAATTAAATATTTCAATTTTTTTATTTTGTTTAAGTGTTCTATATTAAAATATAAAATTGAAGAGTTTGTTAGTTTGAACGCGCTAATCTCGGGAACTACTGTTTCAAATTGAAAAATGTTAACCAATGGTTTTTGTGTTAATTAGAGCATTTATCGAGAAAGGCTATGGGTTGTAAAACATCACGCTGTGGGAAATAGGAGTGAAGAAACAACGGGAAATGTGGAAAAAAGGAAAAATATTAATCTTTGGGCTTCCGACGCGTACGCTACGAAAATGGTTCCGAATACCCAAAAACTAATGTATCTAAGGATGATTCCGACTTTAAACTATTTTAAAAATGCATTTCTTCATTTTGAGCATGAGTGTCAACATCTCCTGATTCAAGTGTGGCGAACGTCGAGAAACTCTTCTCGCTCACATCGTCCGAACAGCCCGAAAGACAATGATATGCTGAACGATGGCCAAGAAAGACTTACACAATTTATTTTAAAAAATGTCCACAACACTATATGTCTATCTTTTAAGATTAACTTGCAAGAACGACGGGACCCGACCGACGTTATAGGAAACAGCCTAAATTTATAAAGATGAAGAGGTAGTTTACAAAAACAAATTTGGATGCCCAAAATTATATTCTACGCGAACGAAGTCGATAATACAGCTAGTATAATACATAACGATACGACCCGTATTATTAAAGTAACTTTATAAACTCCCTTAAAAATAGATGTAATATAAAGTATATAACTGCATACAGTATGATAACGTCAGTGGTCGAATTTATCCGTGAAAACAGCCTCTGGGCAGAACTGATTTTACACCTTGATATGTGATAACCGTTGACAATAAATATGACAATATTTGTCTACCAAAAACACATACACCCGTATGTGTTTGTACGTCATGCTCTATATAATGCCATTATGTGCGAAATGTGAAAAATAAAGTTTTCAAACGGTTAACTATGTAATTTCATCTCTAATGATTTTGTTAAGTTGCAAAGTATAAGACATTGAACTTGTCTAGACTACATTGCGTAAGACGTGCATACTAAATCAATAGGTTGAAAAAAATCGACGATGACATATAGGGGGCACGGTAGCTCAATTCGTTAGAGCTACACCACAGAACGTTAATGCCGGTTCAAGTCCTGCCTGCGTTGAAATTTGTTCCATTTTTAAAATCGATTTTATATTTATATAATGCCATCGTACGGTCCGTAGTTTACGCGAGCAGTACACATCTAATCAAAAGACTTGGCTTGGCTTAAAAGGCGAAATATATTAGTTAAACTTATTTGAAAATATTTTTTTTACCGCCGCCCCACGTTTCGGATGCTTTGCAGTAGCCGTGGTCACGGGGAGACTATCTTGTGCAATAACATGTGAATAATATTACAGTTTAAAATACATGTCATTGTGGTAGCTCAAAGGTAAAGAAGGCGTGGCTTACCTAACGTCACGCACAAACGTGCTGTCTCCTGTAATTATGTTTCATGTCATGCTATTTGGACGGGCTCTCCTCGAACGAAATTATGTTTGGTGACCTCCACGTGTAACTTGGCTGTAAATAGATTAACGGCACCGGTTAATTGGAGGCTTTTAACGACGCGTACATAACAAACTGAACGTTTGGTTCTATCTTGATGTATTAAGTTATTAAACAGTGATTTTGTGAAATAAAGAACGAAATTATCTAGTACGTAGTGAATATTGTATTGGCAAAATCTTAACTATTTAAATAAAATACTTATAACGGTTAAAAACGCGACTTATATTACTTAACTTATTTGTAATCTATTATGTTTAGTCAAATGTGACTTTGACATTAAGGACACTTTAATTCTTCTGTCCCTCCGTGACCATGCCTATTGCAAAGCATATGAAACGACGGGTCGTAGTTTAAGCAAATTAAGTATAAGTTAACTAATATATTTCACGTTCGAAACCGTTAAGAGTGTTTTATTTGAATGTATACTAGTCGCTTAAAATACAAACTGAAAAAAAAAACAAATAAAAAAAACACTTTCCATAATTGTACTACTGCTATGACAACATGCTAATGCAGTTGTCATAGCAGTAGCTCACTTAGTGGAAGGTGAAATAAACCAGCCATCTAAACTAAATGCGCTGTCGAATTATTTGTCTTTGGTCATTAATATGACTTTACGAAATATTATTCATTTCATTTTATACACAGTTTTTTAAGTTGTTTTTACGCCGTAGCAGTAAAAATCCGTGCTAGGCGTAAAAACAACTGTTAGGGAACAAGAAGTATTTTTTTCTCTAACTAAAACACTTGTAACGGTTTTAAACTCGAAATATTATAATATTTGTTAACTTGTTCACAATTTAATTCACTACTAAAGTTATGGATGAAGCTGCAAGGCGGCATTGTTTTAAACAGTTAAAATTGTTTTCTACAATTTGTTAAACTTATTAATTTGTCTATGTTGTAATTTACGACGTGTCCTACACGTCATAAAAACAGACAATATATTAGAAATCTATTAAGTTACTGTACATGCACGGAACGCTATGATTGCCGGTTCAAGTCCTGCCCGTGTCAATTTTTTTTTTCAACCTAAAATGAATTTTGTTTTATATAATGCCATCATGTGCAATAAAATAAAAAAATATTAAACTTTTAAAACTTAAATTAATATTTTTTCCAGCGAACCACAGAGCATAGCGTTCATAGAGACATCGAATTTGGATGGAGAGACGAATTTAAAAACGCGCCAGGCGCACCCAGATACAGCTCGCCTGGAGAATATCTCGGAAATGGCCGAGTTCCGTGCCACGTTGCAATGCGAACCACCAAACAGACATCTGTACGAGTTCAACGGAATGTTGAAGGAGGCTAATGCGAAGTAAGCTATATCTTCCACACATCTGTACTAATATTACAAGGCTGAAGTGTTTCACAGGAGACTTTTTAAATGATATCCTCTATCATTAAAAATGTTTTAGTATTTATTACTTATCAGCTAGCTTATTAAGATCTAGACACCACAGCGTGTCCGCCGAGTTCAAGTGGACGCGGAAGTGTACATTTAGCAAATTTGGCCTTGGATCTGTATAGTCGATTCACGACTTTTTTATAGGACGATACCGCTGGGCTTGGAGCAGATGTTGCAGCGTGGTGCGATGTTACGGAACACCACCTGGGTTCTCGCGGCTGTTGTATACACTGGACATGAGACCAAGCTGATGAAGAACTCCACAAAAGGTATTTTTAAAATCGGGTTCACTCGATAGTTGATATACCCCAGCTAACGGTTTTATAATTATCTATTACACGTTTTAAACCGTTAAAGTACCTTTGGTTTTTTAGTAGATTGACCAGGTGGGAATCGAACATACAATCAATACATCGAGTCGATGATTATATTGTTTTTGTTGCACGAACGAGCTTATCAAGCAAGTTATGTTTTAAATGAAGCACTTTAACCGGCCTAAATCGCGAAATATATTAAAAACAAAGTGAAAAGTGTTTTATTTTGAAAACTTTATTATTTTTTACATGTTATTGTATATGAAGGCACTATATAATTAAAAAATCGAAAATAAATTGAAAAAAATTTCGACTCGGTAGCTCAATCGGTAGAGCATCAGCACGGTAAGCTGACGATGCCGGTTCAAGTCCTGCCCAAGTCGAAAATGTTTTCAATTTATTTTCGATTTTTAAAGTGTTTTATTCGTAAAACCTTGTTTCCAGCTCCACTGAAACGTTCCTCAATAGACCGCCAAACAAACACACACATTTTGATGTTGTTCATCATACTGATAGTGCTGTCTTTGATCAGTGCCGCCTTCAACGAACTGTGGCTCTTGCGACGAACCAACACGGACTGGTATATCGCTTTAGAAGGTGAGAGCTGACAAACTTACACGTGCTTTTATATTGTTTCGATTCATCGTCGCTAATGCGTGGTTGTCCTTTTTCAGAGGCGCAGAATGCAAATTTCGGATTCAACTTTTTGACGTTTTTAATATTATACAATAATCTTATACCGATATCTTTACAAGTTACAGCGGAGATAGTTAGATTTTTTCAAGTAAGTTTTCTCTGTTTTAATAACTAGTGACGTTTCGCGTTACCCGCGTTACGTTATCTACAATATAACGCCAAAATTCTAAAACACTATTAAATATTTTATGGTGTATGTGTCATCTTGAGCGACATTTACACAAAAACTTATCAAACCCAGTCTAGCCGTTTAATTGTAATAATAACATAGATAATTTAATAGTTATAATTCATTAAAGAATATTACATAACTTTGTATTTGAACATATTATGAGCTGGTTGAACTTCATGTTCAATGAGTTATTATTACTTTTTTTTTAATTAAGGAAAAAAATATGGCCGGGTGGGTCTCGGATACCGTGAACATCCCTATTATAATGACTTAGCGTTAGGACTTTATTATCTTTTATTAACTTAAATATAATTTCTAGGCTAAATTCATAGCGATGGACAGTGAGATGTACCACGCGGAGACAGACACCCCGGCGATGGCGCGAACCTCTAACCTGAACGAGGAACTGGGGATGGTCAGATACGTGTTCAGCGATAAGACAGGCACGCTGACCTGCAACATCATGGACTTCCACAAGTGTTCGATTGGGGAGGTGAGGGATTGATTTTCTCTAGTTACATTTAAATAAACCGGTTTTAACGGTTCAAAACGCGAAATATATGCGTTAAATTATTGTGCCTTTCTGTGACCACGACCCCTTTTTTACGAAACGTCGTATCGTAGTAAATATAAAATATATGTTAATATTTCGTGTTTTAAACGGTTTAAATGGTTTAATTTATAGGTGTGAGTAATTTAGATCCTCGATTGAACGGGTCGTGGAGTTCGATTCTTATCGACTCCAACATTTCTTTTTAATCATTTGACAATTTTTCTGAAACATCTTCCGTAAGTCTAGATGTTAAATTGGTGACACGTACTACCGTATAAATAATGAAGAAACATTCGGTTTCCGTCTGAATGTCCTAAGCAAAATAGGGCGACAGCATATCTTTAAACGTTACATGGCTCGGGTATTTTACGTTCATATGATGCTTGTCTGTCTTCCTCTGTGATGAAAAGGCAATATATTCATTCGCATTCGGTTCCTTCCAGATAATATACAACAAGCCAGGGCCCAATGAAAGATTAGAAGACACTTTGTTGTACCACAACCTGAAGGAACATCCAACGGCACCAGATATTGCAGAGTTCCTTACGATGTTGGCAGTTTGTCACACCGTCATTCCAGAAGTTGTGGATGGGAAGATCAATTACCATGCTGCATCACCTGGTATTCATTTATTTATGTATCTTCGTTGAGTAGAGTTCCAGAGTTCAAATCCGGGAGTAACAAGTCGTTATTGTTAGGCAAGGCATATAAATGTTAGCTATCTATACAAGCAAGCAGTCGATATTGAAGTAGATAAAGTATTGTCTGTGGTAGTGAAATAAAACACTTTAAACGGATAAAAAATCTATTACTTAAATAAATTTTTATATAGATTCTTAGCAGGCCCAAGTGTCCACGACTAATACATTCTTATCGTCGGATCGTAGTTATTAATAGTTTATTTATTGCGCGTTTTAAACTGTTAAAAGTGCCATAATGTGTAGAACATCAAAGAGCTGGTGTATTTCTTGTTTCATTGCTACAAGCTTGATAGTTCTAAGGTTCACATCCCTAGGGAACAAAATTTCGAGTAGGCAAAGTAGTTTTCGGGAATTTTCACTTCTTACGTTGAGAGTCTGTATGTTAGAGTTTTTCTTGAATTATAAATTAACAAGTAGTCTTTCTTTTAGACGAGCGTGCGCTAGTGATGGGCGCGGCCGGCTTCGGTTGGGTGTTCGAAACTCGGACGCCGCACTCAGTGACGGTGATGGCGCAAGGGAAAAGACTTCACTACTCCGTACTTCATGTACTTGCGTTCACTTCGGCGCGAAAACGAATGTCTGTTATAGCGCGGGCACCTAACGGTAAGAACAATATTCGCAAAATATAACTAGTGTTGAATATTTGCTTGAGAGGGGAGTTTGTTTTAAATGGTAACTCGGTTCTAGAGAGAGTGTATTAGAGCGTATAGGAGTGAATACAAAATTCCTTTCGAATTTATACATTTTACAAATAAACGTTTTGGATTAGCCATTAAAAATCATTATGAAAAAAATACTAAAGAACTGAGGATCCGCATGCTCTCTCTAACCGCATCAATTTATAATGGATTTTTAATTTATATACTGCCATATTGCTAACATGGGAATATATTAATTTTTCAAACATTAAATTAGTGGAATAATACTTTATTTAAATTCAAACAATTCCAAGCAAAAAAAATAAATACAAATATAAATTATTCAAAATAAAAAATTGGGTTTACAATATATTACATACATAAACTTTTATGTGGAAGAACATCACTCAGCGCCGATTTTCAGTGATGCCCCATGGACCACAGCCAGAAACAATAAGGAGGAAACACAAGTACAAATTTAAAATAAAGATTGCTTTTTCTCATAGGTGAAATTAAGTTATTCTGCAAGGGCGCAGATTCAGTGATCTATCCCCGGTTAGCTGGCGGTGCACAAACAGCACAATACGCAGCCGCTACTCTTGAGCACCTCTCCCACTTTGCTGCTGAAGGGCTCCGGACCCTCGTCTTCGCCACCGCTGATATACCTGAGCATGTTTATAAGGTATGCTATTTCAGTTATCCGATTTATTTTTAAAGCCCGCCAACGGGTATTATTGAGTATGAAAAACCTCGTGCTTAACTTTTGTTAATGTTTTGAGTGTGTTTATTATAAAAGATGTTAATACAATATATAAATGTAACGTACAAGACTTGCAGAGTGAGTGAGTGATTTCTTTATGATTTCTTTCTTGAGACCCCCCATCGATTAATTAATAATAGTTTACATCGATTATATGAAGATGCCCTTTTGGCGCTGTGCGCAACAACTTTCTTACTTATCATAAAAAAATTATCGTCATTATTTATTATTTTTCTCATGCTATCGCTCATGTTTATAAATTAAAAAATGAATTTGAGGCATGCTATATTCGTTAGGACAACGGGATTGCTGTGGATCCTATTTAATAGATTTCTAAAATTCAAATAAAACTCTTTAACGGTTTAAAATGCGAAATATTTCGTTAAACTTGTTTGAAAATATCTAATTTTTAACTAGGGCCCAATGTTTTAAAAATAACTTTCAAACGGTTTAAGACGTAATATATTTTAGTTAAAGTGTTATTATATTTTAATGTGTACCACTCGCGTTAACTACAGACCGTATTTAGATTTCTAAATTATCTATGGTCAACTGGAATGGAAGCCTGGTCAATTGGGATCTCAAGGGATCGAGACATGTGTGCCAATTTTTAAGGGTTTCCAATTTATCCAGATTCCACTTAACCAGGTTTGACTGTTTATATCATAATATTTAATATATATGTAATGGAAAATCTTCTGTTTCCAGGATTGGTCGAACACATATCACAAGGCCAGCATAGCGATACAGGACAGGGAGCAGAAGATCGAAGAAGCTGCTTTATTGATCGAGAATAACCTGAGATTACTCGGAGCTACCGCTATTGAGGATAAATTACAGGTTCCTCGTCATTTCACGCTTGCTTTCAAGAAAACATAACAAACCTAAAATTTAATTAAGTTTGCAGCATGACGAAATAATTTAACATTACTAGTGGTTAGTTATTTAAATAAAACACTTTTAATGGTTTAAAGACTGTTTGAAATTTATTTCAATTACGGCCCTACGTTTCGTATACTTTTCAGCAGCATATTAGTGACTATTTTCCGCGTTTTAATTCGTTAAAAGTGTTTTATTACAATGTAATGTAATGTAAGTGGAAAGCTTTATAATCTTTTAATAGTTTTATTTGGAGTTTGGTCTTCTTACTTAAAATAAGTCCTCATTTAAGGATGGGGTACCTGAGACGATAGCATCCCTTCTAAAGGCGAACATCAACGTGTGGGTCCTAACGGGAGACAAGCAGGAGACCGCTATTAACATTGCCCACTCTGCCCGGCTCATACATACAGCCATGCCACTCTTACTCCTAAACGAAGACAGCTTGGATGTAAGTAGACAAATATCCATGTCTCTTTCTTACTTATTAGATAGATAGAGATAAACTAACAATGCACCTATTCCGTACTGTTGTGAAACATATTTTTGCGAAGAGCGTGCAATACGGATAAAATATTTTGTAAAAGCGTTAAAAACAAGGTAAACTCCCGTTTACCCCATCTGGGTAATGACGAAAACATTTCTTTGTCCATTTCAAGGATTAATTTTATTTAGGAAAATGTGGAAAAAACAGCCCAAGAAACGGTCGCTGTGAAAATATTATCCTCAATAGTATTTGTCTACCTTTCAAGATTTACATGCAAAAATGGCGCGACGCGGGCAACGTCGTGGGTAACAGCTAGTGTTTGATAGCGAGAATTGCTTAATAGCTTACTTTTTCTTCAGGGTACAAGGGAGAGCCTTTCGCGCCACTGCACTGAACTTGGTGAAAATTTGCGCAAACAAAACGAGGTGGCGCTAGTTATAGATGGCAAGACACTCAAGTACGCGATGGGTTGTGACCTCAAGAAAGATTTTATCGACCTCTGCGTTTCGTGTAAAGTTGTTGTGTGCTGCCGTGTTTCACCTATACAGAAGGCGGAGGTAAGTTTTACAGTATACATTTACTTAGTGCTACCATCATGGTTACCTACGTGGAAACTTAAAAAAAAAAACATCAAGTTGCGATGTTTTTTTTTAATATTTTAGTAACGATATCTCTTATGAAAATGGTATGAATTTGTTAAAAAAAAACTAGCTTTTTAGAATCTGTATTTCAATACATCTAAAAAGCAGTTTTTTTTTCGTATTAAAGCAGTATAAGCTCATTTAAACATCAGTGTTAAATGTTTAAAACGCGAAATACTAGTTCGACGTTTAACTTAAAATTTTGTGTCGTTATTAAAATAAATAAAAGTTAGTTAACTTATATATATCGCGTTTCAAACCGTTAAGTATTCTATTTAAATGTGTACTACTCCCACAAACAAATAAGGTCTTGGAAGAAAAAATAGAAAGGCAGACTATAGTATATAGATTTCATGTTAATAGGTGGTGGATATGGTATCCCGCGCAACGGGCGCAGTGACGTTGGCGATTGGAGACGGTGCAAATGACGTCGCGATGATACAGCGGGCGTCGGTTGGTATCGGCATCTCTGGTGTGGAAGGACTCCAGGCCGTCTGCGCATCCGATTACAGTATTGCACAGGTTAATTTTACACGTCTTTTTACATATGACACTTTATGACTGAGAAAGAATGAAATGCTTGGAAGCTAAACTAATTAGGTTATAATATATACAAGATGCCTGTCGACCTTTTAAGAAATGCCAAGCTTAAGTGTGTTAGGTACTATATTATGTTAGCTAGATGATCCGCGGCATAAGTGAACGTTGTACAGTTCTCATGTCCGGGTAGGTAGTGTAAAATGAAAAATATAGAAAAATACACTTATACAAATATACTTGTCACAAAACAAAACAAAAAATTGTAGTAATTAAGGACAAAGCCTCTTCTAATAGCTATCTCTTCCAAGCAACCGTGGTAGAAATAAAATTCAGTAATAATAAAAAAAAAGAATGCGTACAGCAGAAGAATGAGCCTAATCTAAAAATCATTAAATTGCTATCTTAACTAAGTTACTTAATTAGGCATAAATAGTGGGACCTGACAAGATTCTTGAGGGCAGATTTTGGGCTTTTCTTAAATCTAAAAAGAAAATTAAAGTCTTGTAGCCCTCACATGAAAGGATGAATTATAGAATCTAGTTGAGTGAGAAGGAAAAAGTTAGGTATAGTAAAATATTAATATAAAACCCATTCCCCGTGACCACGGCTGCTTCAAAGCATCCGAAACGTCGGGTCGAAGTTAAAAATCATATTCAAAGAAGTTTAACTAATATATCACGTTTTAAAGTTAGAGTTCGAGTCGAAGTTAAAAATCATTGTAATATATGTGGTAAAGTCATTGTGTTTTATATAAAATTGTCATGTTATTTATTGAAAGATCATATTTTTATAATTAACATGATATGTGCAATTTTATAAACGCAGTGATATTAGTAATTTGAATTATTTATTCATTATTTTTTAAAAATTTTACCCAAAAAACCACACATGTCATGTAATTTCTTTTAAATCATATACATAATAGCGTTCCCCTATGTCCATGTGTTAGAACAAAAAGAAAGTCGTAGACCGGAAAGTACTTTTAAAAGTACTAAACCTAGTCATCTTTGAATTCCAGTTCCGATTCCTGCTCCGTCTGTTACTGGTTCACGGTGCATGGAACTACTCTCGTATAAGCAAGCTAATCCTCTACTCCTTCTACAAGAACATTTGCCTCTACGTCATCGAGCTCTGGTTTGCTATCTACTCTGCATGGTAAGTCATAATTGTTATTGTAAAAACAGTTGATACAGTATTTCTCGTCTTTCACGGTAATCGTAGTCGTTTGTGTCTTTATTTAAAGCCAGTAGACAGTTTTAATTATTTCTCGTAACTTCGCAATTAATTTGGTGTATACAGTGTACTATAACGTACGACTGCACTACTAGTCTATTTTTTGGTTTTCTTCTTGGTCGTGTGCTCTTTTCACTCTGTAGAATCACGACGGACAGATAGACGAACATTTTTCACTTTTTTTGACGAATCTAAATAATTTTTAAAAATTTATCTATTTTGGCTTTAAATATATTCTATAGTTTACGCGAGTAAACTTCCGTAAGGCCAGCTGCAAATGAGCTTCGACGGAACAGATGGCGCTAGCGTAGCAATTTTTTACTTTGACGTCAGAGACATCCTCCATCTTAAATCTCCCCGTGACCACGGCTGATGCAAAGCATCCAAAACGTCGGGCCGAAGTTAAATATCATTTTCAAATAAGTTTAACTAATATATCGCGTTTTAAACCGTTAAAGTGTTTTATTTAAATATTTTGGCTTTGACAAAGTTAGTTAAAACTCAATTATGACAATAGATAGAACTTATGTTCCTATTTCTGTCATTACAGGTCTGGTCAGATTCTGTTCGAGCGCTGGACGATAGGTTTCTACAACGTCATTTTCACCGCGCTCCCGCCCTTCGCCATCGGACTCTTCGACAAGATCTGTTCGCCTGAAATTATGATCCGGGTATGTTATAAAAGGCTTATGAACTACATATGTAATTAAACTTACAAAATCTATTTCTAATAATAATTTTTACTACTTATCATCTAACTTAAAGGTACCTATGTACAATTTTAACTAAATATATTAAATAAAGATAGAAATAAATATTACGAGTACAAATTAAAAGTACAGATAGAAGGTAGGTTACAAATAAAAATCTAATTAAAATTTATGGATGGTAAAACTTCTAAAACTTTTTTTTTTGAATATATTGGAGTTGACGAATAAGTCTCATTGATCTAATTTAAGAACACAATTGCACAATTTACACAAGGTTGGAATGGGTGAATTTAAACAATAATTATTTTTACAACGGACTAAGAGCCATCCGGCCGACAATATATTCCCCGAACTGCATATCAAACCTTGGGTATTAAGGTATTGTGCTTCAGTGGCATGTTTGGCCGCATATCTCTATCGTAAATATCGACTCATCAATAAATTCTCGTTCACAGCATCCAGTATTATACGTACCCTCGCAACAAGGCTTACTGTTTAACGTTCGCGTATTTTGGGTATGGGCAGTCAATGCGTTGCTGCACTCTGTCTTGCTGTTCTGGCTGCCCATGCTGCTCGCCTCACATCACGTATTGTGGCCAAATGGAAAAGATGGCGGCTACCTGGTCCTTGGCAATCTGGTTTACACGGTAAATAAAGAACCTTAACTAAGACACTACATTATTATATATTTCCTTTGTTTGATATAATGTTTGTTTTGATTTCAGTATGTAGTGGCAACTGTGTGCCTGAAAGCTGGTCTTGCGACACACTCTTGGACTTGGGTTACCCACGTCTCCATATGGGGCTCCATCGCTCTTTGGATTATATTTATTGTCGTGTACAGGTGAGATTATATTTTTTATAAAGGTTTTTAGTAATATTAACTGTTATTCCCTTTGGAGTAAGGTTGAATTTCAATTTTAGACTCTTAAAAGATAGATCTCTTTTAGATACAAAAAAGTTACTCTTAACTGTTCAGAACGTGAAACATTTAAATAAAACACTTTACCGGTTTAAAATGCGATATACAAGGTTATTCCTACTTCATGCGAAACCTGAAAGTAGGTTGTTCAGAATCAGTAGCAGAATCCATTCAAATAATTTTTATACCACGTTATATTTTTTGTCAAAACGATATGAAATTTTTGAAATCTTGGACACCGTTCGATAAATAAATTCCTACATAAGTTAAACAAAGTAGGTATAATAATTCGGGGAATCCGCGGCTGCGGCTCGTCGCTTTGTACTCACCGCTTTCTCGCACGCGCCCCACTCCGCACTCCTAGAACAATATATACTCCTAACTGTCGACGCGGTCAGTGCGTGCGCAACCCTTTCGCAGTGATTACGTAACAACTTTCTTCCGAATTGCAAGCAGGCGATTGCGCATCCCACGGGCATCTCGTCGTTTCGCGGTGTTTTGTTAAGTGTATTAATTACAAACATGTCTTACAATTACACCAATGTACAATGTAGAAATGGTGCGAACACTTGCTTTGTGGTGACGTGAAACATGTTAATTTTGCTCCTCGATCCACGTTCCTGTTGCAAAGCGTCCAAGACGCGGGATCATAGTCGTTTTAAATTAGCTTATGTGGCCAGTTTTGAACCGTTAAATGTGGTAAGAGCGCAGTTAAAACATATAAGGCTTATTACTAAACAAAAAGAACACAGAACACGATCCTACCTAACTTATATCAGGCCCTTTGTTGACCTGAAACTGATTTTCAGTTAGTCCTTAGAGTGTGGACAACGGTGCCATACGAAAGCCAAAACAAAACGATAATTGTCAGTGAGTTCTAATTACTAAATCCCATTTCTTCAGTAATCTGTATCCGGCCATTTTGATCGGCGCTGTGATGCGTGGTATGGACAGGATGGTGTTCACCTCGCTCGTCTTCTGGTTCGCTCTTCTCTTGATACCTGCCGCTACCCTTATACCAGATCTCCTTATCACTGTGTGAGTATATGCTATATTCATATAAAAGCATAGTTATTGTGTTAAATATTAGGACGAAATTGCACTGATATTATAGAATTGAAGTGTTTGTTTAACGCACTAGTTTCCGGAACTACTGGTTCGATTCGAATAATTTATTTAGGAGGGCTTTAGAGGTGAAGAGAGGAATGAAGTGTGAAACGTAGGAATAACGGGGAAAAGTGGAAAAAGTGAAAATTATTCATCTTTCATAGTTTTACAATGCGTACGCTGCGGTTACGGTTCCATATACGCAAAATATGTATAAAATAATTATTTATCTTTATCTAATTTAAATATCCGCGACGGTATTGGGTTACCGTTTATGATTAACTCACAGGAACCGATTTTATGGTAATACAATTTTTGGTCGAAATACTTTGTATGGAAAAATAATTATAATAATAAATATAATATTACTATGGAAAAAGGTCACTATAGAAAATGTATAATTAAAAAAATATATTTTCGAGTAAATAAAATATTATTTACTAAAAAGTTTACATTACAATTATTTAAAACTACTTTTTTAAGTCTTGTAAGACGACCCGATTGATATCACAACTCAAACGAAAGATTAATATTGTTCTTCTTCTGAATAGAATAGCGGGTAGTTTGGGAAAAGGACGCATACAGTGCCCAACTGCTACGGAGAAAAAAGCGAAAAAAATCGAAAACTATCGTCGTTTGTCTAAACGATGTCACTAGCGAGCATGTGTGTGTTATTTTGATGACCTATTTTTGGCTACTATACTAGTAGTGTAGGAGTAGACCATTCAAAAAGAGTATTTGAGTTTTATCGTAGATTTAATCTATACTAATATATATAGCTGAAGAGATCGTTTTTTAGTTTGCTTGAACGCGCTAATCTCAGGAACTACTGGTTCGAATTGAATTTTTTTTTGTGTTAGTTAGATTGTTTATCGAGGAGGCTATAAAACATGTACCAGGCATGAAGGCATAGCGGGAAATGTGAACAAAACGGGGGAAATTTTCATCTCTGTGGGTTCCCGATGCGTACGCTACGCAAACGGTTTAAGATACCTGAAAATTGTGTATGAAATAATAACTTGCAAGAACGAGCCGAACGACGGGACGCGTACGACGGGATACGAATGTCGTGGTTAACAGCTGTAATGAGGAGGAAGTTCGCAAAAACAAATTTTGACGCCTAAAATAACTAGTATATGCGGACGAAGTCGCTGGCACAGATAGTCGTAGATAAAATTAAAATAATTTTATCAGAGTATATATTTATAATAGTATTAGACCTCATATGAATTTGAGTACCTATTGATACAAAATTAATTTCTGCTATACAATATGTAAAATGACGTGTAGGGCGCGGTAGCTCAATTGGTTAGAGCTACCGTACCCTACAGGCGGTGTGGATGCCGGTTCAAGTGTTGCCCGAGTCGTAAACTTTTTGCAGTGTATAATCGATTTTATATTTATGTAGTGCCATCTTGAAAAATATTAAAGATTTCAAACGTCACAATATATTTTAGCGTAACTACGCGAATAACTCTTAATTAAACAATTTCAGCGTGCACAACTCCGCGTTCAAAACAATGACGGAAGCGGTACGCGAGAGCGAAATAAAGAAGCGTGACCCGGCCGCACTGCTCGCACACCCGAGGCACTCGTAAGTAAACTTCACCTAATACACTGCTATACGAAACTTCGCGATATTGATACGATATTAAAATTATTATATGCTTATTTCCGCAAACTGAGCCCTCAAACAGTTTTTATAAGCATGCAGTAAATAAACAAACAAAACAAAAAATAAAAAACTTGTTTATTTATTTTTTATTATACGAGATATTTGTTTAATCAAAAATGCCATATTTATACTTGAATCAATACAAAAATTATGATATTTTGTCATGACGAATAAACCAAGCTTCAGCGCTCTAGATGTCATACAAATGTCGTGCCTATATTGCGAAAACAATAAATATTATTTAATAACCATATATATATATATATCCATGTTTTGTCGTAATATATTCACGAAACTTCTTAAGTGATGTTCAGAAAATCTTTGACACTCACTTTGAATATATAAAAAACAATAAAAACATAGATATAAATAATAAAAAATAATTACCTATGAGCATATTATTTTATAAATAAAATATTTATTATTATATGTTTATTTTCTTTGGATATGTTCTATTTATTTATTCACTACGTTTATGTAAATATGTATGTACCATAGCACTATGCTTGTTCGTTTGATTTTAAGACCTCTCTGTTTAGTAATTGTTGATATATTAATTAGAATACTTTATTCAAAAATATTAAATGATCGTCCCGAAGTGGCCTCGAAATTATTCATATTATACTATTTTTTTAAATGTTTAGATTTCACTTAAAACTTTATATCTTATTTGTATATAACGGTAATATCTAGATATTTAGATCAGCTATATATAATATTATAAAATTCACTTCTTAAATAATTATATGTTGTATATATAAAACTATATTGTAATCGTATGTAGATCATATCCACTTATAATTTATGTTTTTCACAAATACACACACCAATTATCCCCTAATTAATTTTGTATGTGGGTTTTTTAAAGTTTTAGTAAATTCCTACCATACTTGTTCAAGGCAAAAGTAAGGATGTTTTATGGTGGTATTTATTGTAAAAAAAAAAAACCTACAGCCAAAAACTGCACATGCCAGTTACAATGTTTTGAGTTAGCCTTATTTGCTTGGCACCGCGCCGCACTGCCTGTGGCCCCGTCCTGAGATAAAACGCATGGTGTGTCGTTGTTTTTATTTGTAATATTAATATTTAGTTGATTCGCCTGTTTTTTTTTGTTTTATAGACAGCTTTATGTTAAGATTTAATGTTGTTTACAAATGGCAGCGGCGTTTGATGTCTGATATCTGTTTATAATCGCGACGCAATGTGTTTTAGATGTGTTAATATTTTAATGCGCGCGCGCTTGTCGTTCACCCAAGTGACGTGTTAATTTTATTTATGTCGGTCAAAAATGTTAGGAATTCCGTTCAACTGAAGGTTAGGATATTTATCTCAGCACGGGCTCGCACAACGCACCATGTATAGTGAGCACAGTAGGGTAGAGTTGAAAGTTGATTGTGGCGCAGTGGCTCGCCCCGCGGCCTCGTCTGGCGCCGACGCGTTGCCCCCGAGGACTGCCCGAGCCCGCGTCACACTGCACAAAATGGCGGTCCGAACGGCGCACAAAATGGCGGCCTCCCCTTCCACCGCCGCCTCAGACCCCCGCGACGGCGGGTCTCACATGTTATATGACAGTTTACAATCGTCGGATAAGGAGAGCACGTGTTGCAATTTGAGATACTCAAGTACTAGCGTAATATTGTTTTTATCATAATTTCAACTTTCACTTCCAACTTAGTAAGAATTCCTATGAAATTTTAATATAGATGAGGTATATACCTCATTGTGTTGCACGTGTGGCCTCCTTTACAATACTTTATAGACAATTTGTATTCTGTGAATACAATTAGCTAGTGTGCTAGAGAAATTGTAAATCCATTTCATTGTATAAACTCAGGCCTTATCATACTATCTGAAAAGACTGTGAATCTCAAGCTGCTTTCAATTCATTCCATATTAATTACTATAAATTCTTATACATATTCTTGCTTCTCTAGCAGTGATATCATGTATTTTCAGATAAAATTATAATTTAGTATATACATATATCGTTCGTATATAAAAATATTTAGATGCATTTAAATTGTACCGTCTGGACAGGTACTTATAAGTACTGAACATAAGTCTTGTGATATTTTTGTAATTTATATAAATGTTTAGTGTTTTCGCCGGGAGATGGAAGCACTTCAAGTACTTGATAGCCGGTGTCTCCGTGGTTAAGTGGTAAATGTCTTAGTCGTGTCTTCTGTAGGCTTCCAAATTTTATACAGCTAGCTGCAAATTCTCCTTCATTGACTTTAATACTATATTAAATGTTTCCTAGTTAAAGCAGTAACTGTGATGGTCCTTATTGCTATCGAACTTCTTGTTTGACTGATTTGTATTAAATGTTTTCAAAGGTATTTGTATTTATAGATTAGTTAACGCATAGATTTAATCGTTGCTAGATATGGTTTGGAGCTCCCAATATTTATATGTGAATACAAGGTACAAAGCAGCATTTAAATAAATTTCTAAATAACTTACAAGGTATTGAAGTAACTTCAAAAATGTTAAAGTCTTACCAAGATTATTTATTCAAGTAGAAACGTTTTACATCACTTTCTGGTAGATATCCAAGAAAACCTTGGAAATGGTCGTGTTTTATTTAAGGTGTGTTGCTGTACTAATGTAAGTGTATATTTCAATGTCTCATTTCCAAAATTTGCGAACAGCTGTTATATCGCTTTTATAGGAGACCAGAGTCTTAGATTTTTCGTTCGTAACCTTATCTAGGAGTTAAAATCAATCACACCACACCTTGATCAAATTCTTTTATTTTTCAATATAATAGAAATATTTTACCTGATAATTTAATAGCTTTTATTTATTTGCACTTTGTTAGAACCATGTACATACAAATGTCACAGTTTATTTGAATAATTTTGACTTACCTTCGTTACAAAGTATTATACAATAAGGTCTTATTAGAAGAAAATCTTTTCGTTTGTTTTGTCATTGTATATTGTACATATTTAATTAATTATTACTATGAAGTTTTAATTTAGTTATAACTGATACAAATCTAAACACAATGATAAACATATTTTAAACGTCTTCTTCATTCTATATACATAAGCGAGTGTTACTTTTGTATTTAATAAATTGTTGATTTGACTAACTGTTCCTTTTTGTAGTGAGCGTTAAAACCTTAATTCTAATCATACGATGGCCAAATAACGTGTTTTAAAATAGACTCTAGTTATGCTACATGCTATTGTTGCTACAGTTGTTGTTTAAAAATTGTCATTAGATAAAATAACCAAATTTGGACGTTTGCTTTATGCAAAATTATTCGTTTCTTCGGATGAATCTCTGTTTTTTTTTTATTATTTCCAAATGAATTAAAATTCGATTTTAGATTAAAGAAATTTAAGATACGGGCAAGACTTTAAACGGCGTCCAAAGCATTTTTTGTTGGCACGGTGGCTCAATCGTCTTTCTCAAGAGCCACAGCATGGAACGCTGTCCGTGTCTTTCAAGGGAAAAAGTCGTGTTTTAATTTATATAGAGTCTGACTCTCGTGCACTTACATGTGAAAAGCATTGAGGCTTTTTTTTTTCCTTTTCTATAAAACCTATTTAATTCTTCACTAATAAAGATTCGTAGAGGCTCTAATATCCTGTCCTACTAATTGGATGTCTTTTAGCCGTGCGGACGCAGGCCACGCCCTGGTTCGTCTGGCGCAGTGTGAGTAACTTAGCCAGAATAGTCTGCTGCATGGCTTTGCATGACGCTTGCCTTCACACCTGCTTCTAGTTTCTTCTAGGTCCTGGTCATCTCTTCTCTGACTAATACGTTGTTTTCTGGTACTGAAGTGAGAACGGTCTTACGTCATCGGAATTCATATACAGTCATATATGGATATGAAAATGACAGCGGGTTGGTGGGCTAATCGTACTTACTCGATCGTCGATTTGAGAAGACACAACCACATAGTCAACTAAGCAGTGATTGGGCAATCCTAGTTTGAGGTCTTGCGTTAATGGGCTCTTTGACAATGCGAATATAGCCTCTTGCTATCAGTATTAAGTAGAAGTTTGGAAATAGTAAAACAGTCACATATGTCAAAAGTAATATTTGATTTTAATAAAAAAGCTAATAATTTTAAACATTTGTCACGTGACACAAAACGCACCTGATTGGTCGGGTTTATGGCGACGTCACTTGCTTATAAACAGCGCTATAGACCATGGTATTTCCTAGGGTTAAAACTATTCTATTTTTTTTAATATGAATAAATAAATTTTTAACTCATTTTATTACTCCAATCACTGTTAAAATTTTAAATGCTGTCCATGTGTGATGGTCATATTATTATGATGGACACCAATAGCTAATAATGGTAGTGACGTCACTAGCCGTTTTCCGCAATTTAAATGTTGGATTTTTAATTTAAAATATTTCAGCAAATATGTATCAGATATCAAAAATACTACTTTTCCTTAACATCTACTAAATAATATATAGCACATTTTAAAAATTGGTCAAATAGCCCATTTATATCCCTCCGTTGTCCAATACACTTTGTTGCGATCGTGTGAGTAAGTGGGTCTACGGCCTTTGTGTAGCCTGACGGAGACGGCGCGGCTGCTGCAGAATGTGCGAAGTGTGTTCGGAAGACGGTCGACGACGCGTGCCAACATGGAGCTTGAACTGTCACGTGAGTACCTCCACCGCCACACAGACACACACACACAGCTGGACGCTCTTAGTTCACCATCATTCGCACGATAAAATTTATAGGTATCTTAATTTAAATTAGACTTAACTGTTTAAACAAAATACATTATTTAATTTTATTTTTACTACGACGTTTCGGATGCGTTGCAGGTATAATAAATAAAGTAAAATAATATATTCCTCGTTTTAAACCGTTAAATGTTTTATTTAAATGTATACTCTCCCGTGAATACAGACATTACTAAATTCTGTTTTAGATAGTGAATCTATTATGTATCGGTTAAGTTTTGATTGGTGTACAAGAAGAAATATATATATTTTTGTATAATACAAGAAGATTTTTGTCATTGATTTCAAATGACGAAGACAAATTATTTTAAAATTGCCCGAAGTGATCTTTAAAATATTCAAGTTAAACAATTTAATTATTAAATCATGTTATTATAAAGATAAATTTCTCTCCCATAGTAATTATTTCTTCAAAATCTCTTAAATAGGACACAACAAACACTTAGTTCCATAGATCGAGTTTTAGCTTAGCACGTACATCTCTACACTTGCATTCATTACAAGACTGCTTTAGCAAAGCGATGCGTTGTTCATGCAATATTTACTCTTTGGCTTATAAAAACTATATTTGACAGATGGCTTCGCGTTCTCTCAAGAGGAAGGCGCAAGCGTCTCACAGGCGGACGTCATTCGTGCGTACGACACGAGTCAACCCAGAGGGCGCTGCTGAGCTGATACACTACGACTCACGCAACCTATATCATTTTACACGCATCCTAACAGTCGTAACGGCGTTTATGAAATATTTTACGAAAGTTTTTCTATGTACTGTAGTAGAGGTTTATTGTACTAACAATGAGGGTAGTTGTATCTTCACCTTACGATACAACGTCACAGACAGCTGTCGTGCGGTGAAGGTAGGTACTACACGTTATTAATGTGTATTCTAATTGACATGGATCGACCAAATGTATCATGGGTTATTTCATTAAAGTGTTTATTGATTGCTATTATATCTTGGTATTATGTTATATAGCAGGTTACTTTACGAATTTGTCCTTATTCAATGATTTTTCCGTTACTTAAAATCATTTTATGAAGCGTGAAACGCTCGTCTTATGTAGAAAATAAATATTTTTAGGTTAGTTACTGATCTGCTTAGCTTATTGCAATTAGTACAAAAGTGACGATGATCATGTATTTATATAAATGTTAAGCACTTTGCAATCTAAAGGCTTGTTATGAATCGTGTAAACATTACCGTCGCTTAATTACCTGTAAATGTTGCATAGCAACAACAACGAAACCGTTTTGTTTCAATACATACAAAAATAAACGAAGATTTTTAATTTGCTTTACAGTGTAATAATCTATGTATTTATTAAAACATGTGTTAGACAAGTGTCATAAGTCGTTCGCCCATAGGCGCCAAGGTGATTTTAAAAGCTGATGGTTCGTCTGTGTAGGCCTTTAAGGGTTTTATGTACTTATCTGGCTCCAAGCTTCAACTGCAATGGCTGTTTTTCGTTTATTAATGATTGCTTCAGCTAAATAATACATGGCTTAAAAACTTAAATTAAACAAGGCGATTAAAAAATACGTATGATAAAATTAAATTAAGATTTTTTGTTCATGACGTATAGTTTCCCTAGTTTTATATAAATAAATGCCTTTAAAAGACCGAAAAAAGTAGTCATTCTTTTCCAAAGTCTTCTTCGTTATATCTCCAGTATATCGTCAGTAGTGCCAGTCGTTCTACCACCATTGATGCTTTACACAGCGTAACTTTTAGCTTTTGTAAATTGTTTAAGATCTGCGCCTGCGTTTAAGATTGTCACCGAATTAATATTAAGGTAAAAGCTTTACATGTGTTTGTAATATAGACTCGATGTCATTTTTGTTAATTGTAGCGCAATACAGCTATTAATATTGAAAATTAATAAATCGAATACACGCTTGAATTTTGATAAGTAATCCTAAGTATGCATAATTTTTATTCTAAATAGTGGGCCTATTGGAGGGATAACTCCTCTACCAATGAAATTCTAAACATACTTATAATTAGCAATGTTTATGCATGTTTAACATGATTTAAACTTAAGCGGTGTACGGATGTACCACTTGGCTTTTAAGGTATTTAGTTTTACACGAAAAAAGGTTGTACTAATAATATTTAATTGTATGCTATTATGATTTCTAAATAATTAAAACTGTCAGTTTATTCGTGATCGAAATTCTGTGTATGTTCGTATGTTTTCAAATTCATGACCTCTATATAGAAAGTAAAGATAGCCACCTAGTGAGAAATGTTAGGAACTAACACGCATGTAACATTTTCAGATATTACAAAGGATACACTAGTTTAAGCAAATTTTGCAGCTAGTAGTATTGTCACATCTTTTAGTCTAGGCCCTTAGTATTAAATTGCGCGTACGTACCAAGCTTGCAGTCTTAAAAATCCTTAAATTATTGCATAGTATTTTGATGTTAGTGTTTAGTTTATAATATCCAGTGTCTTTGTCTAGTCGACTTAATCCTTCAGCACAGAATAGAAGTAATTCCTTCATATTGGCACAAACGCTATGTTATGTTGTCCGCAGACTTTGCTTTATGATCTGACAATTCAAAGCCCAAACATTTAAAGGGGAGATATAAAAGTTCATTGAAATATCTAGGTATAATAAATTCAAAACGATGATTCTTAAAACTACTTGAAAAATTGTTTTAGTCGCCACGAAATATTTGTAAAGGATGCATGTTTCTGTTGAATAAAAAAAAACTTAATTTGAATAAAGTCAGCAGCCTGGTCCTTCGAGCCGGATGGAAACTAACGAACCGGCTCAAAACATCGTTAGCAGGTTTTGAAGTAATTTCCAATTGTTTTTATATCTTGAAAGAACCATTGACCCCAGGGCTAAACAAACATACGAAATGTATAACTGAATTATTGTGATATTCGATATAACTGGCTATGATCTTTCCGAGTCTTTACAATGTCGACTGCTAGTTGGTTTTTGGATGATGTGTTGATGTTTGTCACATAATATACCTCTAACAGTTTATTATTGTTAACTGTTACTTCGTCTAAGCGATCAGCGACGGCTGGAACGCCGCGGTTGACACGAGATCTCATAACCTCTATATCTTTGTATATACTATATAAGCCTCAAACACATAATCATTCATATAACAAACCGATCAATTCCTTCTGCCCTATACTTTTTTATTAAATTCTAGAACGTTATTATTTATATTGCATTTATACTACCTTTGGCTTATCTTTGGTCCTATCACGAAATATATAAAAGGGACCAATAAATCGAATCAAACTGAGTGAAAAATATTTATGCTTTAAATATATGAACACTATATCAAATCCAGAAAACATAGTACAAACGAGTAATAGTTATATAAATTTCGTTGCCGTCGTTCGTTATATAAAGGGCGTTGTTCATGACTATATTTTCATTATTAGACGTGTCTTCCGCTACGTTCCGAGGCCGATCTTTCCTAGTATAAGCAAAAATGTGAATGTAATAGAAATATATAATTTGTTCTCGTTCTTTATATCTTGTTTTATTTTATTTATACCTCTGTAAAACTAAGTAAAGGTATACATGATTGAAAAAATGGTACGGGCAGGTTCCGAAGTCCGAACTCACCTATAGCAACAATATAGGTATGTATTATGAACCAAGCATTCTATGTTCTCTACAGGTAATATCAAAATCCAAAATAATTCGATAGCTCATCTTGTTGAGATGTTATATGCATGACGTATTTCGCCTTCCATCAAGGCAACCCAATGCTTGCCTGCCCTCTATTATGAAGAAAACTACTTACTTATAACAAAAATTACACTAGTTAACGAAAATAAAATATGATCCGACGTTTATATCTCAGTTCCAAGTAATATTTTTATGTTAAAATAAATGTAGGTACTACACTCCTACTAGCCTCACTTGCTTTGTTACTTTATTAAAATACTGACACTTCAAAAGTGTCTAAACATAAAAATATCACTACCCGCATTTTCTTTTAATACGAAATTCAACACATTTCATCGTATTAATGTTCCACAGCTGGAGCTAGTTTTAAAAGCTTCGACCCACCATCCTCACTCTACAAAACAAGGTAAAGATATGAGACGAGAGATTCTCTTAGAGAAATACTAAAGTAAAATTTCGCCCATACCAAGCATTTGAAGCCAGGAACCTCGTACAATTGAGCGATCCCCCATATCTGATGAAACCGAAATAAATTTGCGCGCATAACCGAGTTGAAGATCAAGGTTATGTTAATTAACATTCAATAATTAGCAATCGATTTAATAAACACAATGTATTCTTGGAAATTGCTCATCACAACACGCTTAGTCTGCTTACGGAAGTTTTGCTCGATTTATTGTGCTATTTATTAGGAAAACATAGTTGCTAAACGCAATATTTATTATTTCCAGGCAGTTGGCAAGCAAAGCGTGGAAATAACTATAGTTTCGGGCGAGCAGGGCACAGTCTGTTTAACTAATTCTCTATGTTACGAACACGGAAATGCGTTCGCCCCTATGAGAAGATAGTAGAAAAGTTATACTTTATTTGTTTTTAAAGCTGTCACAGTTTTTTCACCAAAAAATAGGTAATTAGGTACAAAATAGGTCGATAGCACATCTTGTCTGGATGTTAAATAACTCAGCTTTCGTCCAGCGAACCTCATACTTCTCTGTCCTCCTCTATCATAAAAAAGGTTTAGATATTAATAGCAAAGTACACTCGTAATATGTACACATGACCACGTAGGTAATATATGCTATAGAGATCTAGTTATAGACTCAAATACATTTAAAGTTAATGTACCAATAAATTGGTCGGGACCTTTTCATTACATAGTAACGCTACGTTACCTGCAAGGTCGAATTTAGTAAGTGTCCATAACTTAGTTCAAACAAATACTGCGAATAGAAAAGTTCTGCAATATTCTTCGTTATATTTTCGTTTATTAAAGATTGTCAATTAGTAAACTAAAAAAATGAAAATGGAATAATATAAAATAAAAATAACAATATTACAATGGAATTTAAAAAAAATAATAAAATAAACCAACCTCCACAAACAATATCAGGAAATGAAAACCATCTCTTTACGCAAATATATCTAACGCATGTGTGTATAACATTAACATTAATTACAATATCGTTATCACAACGTAAACACAGGGGTAACGATTCTAACGCGACAGAATGGTAACCCATATTCGAAGCCATTAGTTATCTTTTATCAGAGGTAAGGCCGCGCCTCTACCTTGCCGGCTCAGTCATCCACTGTGCCTTTATCGCGCCGCCCGCGCGTTCGCCGTTTCGCGAGAGTCGTATTTAGTTATGTGAATAGTGAGTGAGTGCTATGGCTCGGTCGCCCAGGGGTAAAGCGGCTCAACGCAGGAGTCGAAGCCATTCCAGAGAGCTGGCCAGGATACGGACGCAGCTTAACGCAAAAGGTAAACGTAGGATACAGAACTGATCTGAGAGTAACAAAGTCTAAGTGGGGCTGAAAATACACAAATCTGTAGGTAGAAAGTAATTATTAAATACATTTTACGTTAAAGAAACTTCGAAATGTTATCTTTACTTATGTGTACTGACGCAGCTTAACGCAAAAGGTAAACCTAAGACACAGACCAGACAGTTGACCGTTACAAAGCCTAAATGGGGCTGAAAATCTATAGATAACTAGTAAT